AGAGAGAGAGAGAGAGAGAGTAGTAAAAAAAGAGAATCCATACACAGGATTGGTGTCTGCAGGAATGTCAACTACAAGATGGGAAGCTACATTTGTACCCATCTAACCCGTACCAACCAGTTCCCACATCTGCTGACATTGATGTGTAGTCAGCCTACCCCCGCGAGCCCCCGAACCTGTTAGCAGGGGCAAGGGCCTATACAAAATAGGCAGATGTGGGTATTCCCTCTTCTGTTTTCTTCCCAAACCACGTCCTCTACGATGTACAGTTTGAGAGGCATTTCCCTGGCCTACCTAAGAAACCTACTAAACTCCTTGTCGCCCAAAAAAGTCTTTACCAAATGCAAACTTTACCACAGCAGAGAAGCCAAGACGTTGAACTCGTAAATAGTACACCAGATTAGTATGTATAGTTTAAGTATTATTCTTGTATTCTTTTTTCCCGTTTATTCATGACCTGTACTTAGCTTGTTAGAGCACAAACGTACAATAAAGGTCTTTCATTCCTTCATTCATTCATTATTATTTCCTTGCACACAAACTAGGCCAGAGAAGGTCGTCTGAGAGGCGCGGGTGTTAGTCACAGCCTGTGCACATGTGCGCGGCCCCACTGGACACTGGTTGCCACTCAAGATTTCCCCAACTAACACATGGGAACAGCCCGCAATACCATATAAGGAACGGGAAGTGTGGTTTATAGGTAACGGTTTATACAGTGACGGAATACTGAAAGCTCGCCCACTGAACTGGGCCCTTCTATCTCAAAGTGACCTCATCTTCACCCCTTTCACGCCCCGTCGTTTGGACCTCTTGTACACAACGGTTAACAGCAGACTGACGATCGCTCTAAAAACACCTTTCGGCAGCATGAGCGTTACACGTACAGGTGACATCGCTACTATCCCCTTTGGTCTACCGTTCATAGAAATGTGCGAATTTGAGTTTATGCAGGTAGTTACACGACTAGTGACTGCTGACTGCCATGCATGTCAAACCACCGGGCCGTTTTCTAAGGATGACAACCATCTCTGTCATACTCTAGAGATAAAAGATTCAATAGACTATCTTCGGCGCGCCCTCGCCTGTACGTCTTTCAGGAAGCGATATGACCAGATTTCATACTGCATACAACAGTATCAGAAATCGCACGCGGGACGGGAAATGCCAACAGAAGACGCCATGAGCAAGATTTTCGAGCGGTGGTATAAGGGGAAAGAAGAATTCATAGCCCGCTTAACCCGTTATGACGACTTGGAGGAGCACGAAAAACCTACAGGCCTATGGTGGGGTTACAGGTTCGTCTCCCGCACTGTGTTGTTTTATGAATTAATATCGGCGTGTCTTAACTAGATGGAGACTTGCTACCTGTGGGCACAGGAGGACCCAAACTCCTAAGTGTGGTCTAAATGAATGAAGGAATTCTACCGAAAAAATCAAAGGAGAAGATGGACGGCGATTCTGCCGATTTGACAAGATCGATTGCCAAGAACATTAACCGCAGAGCTGGCGAGTTGGGGCCATAGTGTGGAAGAGCCTTTTACGAGAATTTATCATGGACTGAAAGAAGACATATTTGTGCCTGTTTGAGGATTATACTACAGAAAGTCTTGGACCGTGAGAACGTGAATTGAGGAAGCATTATAATCTCAATGTTGTTTGTGGTTGATGTGTGTGCAGAACTACTCATGGACGGTTTAGAGTACATTACGATATGTGAAATTATTGTAGAAATGTCCACCGTAATGTGTCAACATATTGGGAAATTCGTGGTAAACAACGGAAGCTGGAGCACGGCACCCGGTGTAATAACTCGTAACAGGACGACAACCTAGAAGAGAATGCCGCCTGACATTTCGTCAATAAATCTTTATCCTGCACCATCTGATCTTGTCATTCTTGTGCATGTGTGGTCTTTTCTTAACCAAAGGCAAAGCACAACCTAGCCATTTGGGGGACCTAACGAATTTCGTTGAGCTTCAATACCTTATCTATATACTTTACAGATGTGGGCATTCCCTCTTCTGTTTTCTTCCCCAACCACGTCCTCTACGATGTACAGTTTTGGGAGGCATTTCCCTAGCCTACCTAAGAAACCTACTAAACTCCTTGTCGCCCAAAAAGTCTTTACCAAATGCAAACTTTACCACAGCAGAGAAGCCAAGACGTTGAACTCGTAAATAGTACACCAGATTAGTATGTATAGTTTAAGTATTATTCTTGTATTCTTTTTCCCGTTTATTCATGACCTGTACTTAGCTTGTTAGAGCACAAACGTACAATAAAGGTCTTTCATTCCTTCAGTCCTTCCTTCATTCATTATTACTTCCTTGCACATAAACTAGGCCAGAGAAGGTCGTCTGAGAGGCGCGGGTGTTAGTCACAGCCTGTGCACATGTGCGCGGCCCCACTGGACACTGGTTGCCACTCAAGATTTCCCCAACTAACACATGGGAACAGCCCGCAATACCATATAAGGAACGGGAAGTGTGGTTTATAGGTAACGGTTTATACAGTGACGGAATACTGAAAGCTCGCCCACTGAACTGGGCCCTTCTATCTCAAAGTGACCTCATCTTCACCCCTTTCACGCCCCGTCGTTTGGACCTCTTGTACACAACGGTTAACAGCAGACTGACGATCGCTCTAAAAACACCTTTCGGCAGCATGAGCGTTACACGTACAGGTGACATCGCCACTATCCCCTATGGTGTACCGTTCATAGAAATGTGCGAATTTGAGTTTATGCAGGTAGTTACACGACTAGTGACTGCTGACTGCCATGCATGTCAAACCGCCGGGCCGTTTCCTAAGGATGACAACCATTTCTGTCATACTCTAGAGATAAAAGATTCAATAGACTATCTTCGGCGCGCCCTCGCCTGTACGTCTTTCAGGAAGCGATATGACCAGATTTCATACTGCATACAACAGTATCAGAATTCGCACGCGGGACGGGAAATGCCAACAGAAGACGCCATGAGCAAGATTTTCGAGCGG